GCAGAGGCCTCCAGGTGTCTCCCAGGAGCACCAGGGAGAGGCACTGGTGGCAGCGCTCCTCACGCTGTGCAGGGCCAGCCTCCGGGCCGGCAGCTCCCAGGCCGGGAGGTGGGAGAGGAGCCGGACTCTCCGACAGAAAGGTTTCTGGTCCTTTGAGCCCCTCCACTCACACGCAGGAGACGGAGGCCGCTTTGCCCAAGGCCACCGGGAAGCTGGGCTCAGGACCATCCCAAACTCGGTTGCCTGCTTCTGCATAGACTGGCTGGTGGGTCTTCTTCCCGCTTCCAGCCACGTGGCTGAGCCGCAGTAAGACCACAAACTCCTCGCTGTCAGCACAGGGGCCTGATCTGCCGCCGGAGAAAACCATGGAGGGTAGTGATTAAAAGCCTGGTGTGGGTGCTGGGCGTGGCTTCCAGCTCTGCCATTCACAGCCGTGTGACCTGGGACAGTGATTTCGCCGCTCTCGCCTCGGTTTCCTCACCTGGAATAAGGCTCCTCCCTCGTGGGCTGTGCTGATGAGGGTGAGTTCATGTACACACTTGGAACGGCACCGTGAGCAGGAGTGTGGGACCTGCGTTTGCATATGGGAGTAAGTGTGAGCTTATGTGTAAGTGTGTGCGAGTGTGAGGGCCTCGGTGCACAAGCAGTGTGTGTGTCTGAGCGTGTTAATTAGTGAGCAGATGAGTGTGCGTGGAGGTACAGTTGTGAGTCTAAGTGCACTTGTGTGAACTCAGTGCATGAGTGTTGGGGTATAGAGAGGACAGAGTAGTGAGGGTGTGTGCAGTGTGGGGAGTGGGAGCATTTCCGCGTGTAGGTGTGTGCGTTACAGGGAAGGCCGTGAGCAGGTGAGGCGTGTGTGCCTGTGTCCGGGGACTCCGAAGCCTCCCCCAGCAGGGTCCAGTCTGAGAGGCTGGATTTTGGGCTCCAAGCCGCTTTTTCCTAAAGTGACTTCACCCGTCACCTCCTTCTGGCCCAGCAGCTGCAGCTGGAGCGCAGGTTGGCGGCCGGGCTGGGCCCCACGAGCCTGGTCCCCTGGGGGGTGGCGGGGAGCTCGATGGCTGCTGGGTGGACGAGTGGACACAGGGATGAAATAATGACTGAGTTCACTCCAGCCCCACAGCTCAAGCTCCTGAACCCAGGACCACCCGCCTCAGCCCCAGCGCCCAGGGCCTGTCTGCCTTGCAGGGCGGGCCTGGCTTGGGTGGCCTTTCCTTCCCCATGAGCCCTGGGGTGGGTCAGGGCCCGTGGAGCGCCTGCATGGAGCCCTCACCCCGTTAGAGAGGAAGGCGCTTCCTTTCCTTCCGACAGCGAGGCCCGTGCCGGTGACGCCAGCCGTGGCCGCCTCTGGGCAGGGCTTGCCTACCAGGCAGGGACCTGCCATGGGCCCGGCTGTTGACCTGGGGAGAGCTTCCTCCACATCAGAGTGAACACAGAAGGAGCTGCCCACAGCCCACACGGAACTGACCTTTTTTACCATGAATTTGTAAAAGAGGATTTAAGTAGTCTTTACAATGTTGAATTTGGTAAGAACCAATTACATGCACTTATTATTGTGTAGGAACAGCCGACATTTCCTGTTTTGGTCACCCTGACATTTCAGAACAGCGGTTCTCAACCTGTGGGTCGTGACCCTTTCACAGGGGTCGCCTAAGGCCATCGGAAAACACATATATAATTACATATTGTTTTTGTGATTAATTACTATGCTTTAATTATGTTCAATTTGTAGCAGTGAAATTGGGGGTCACCACAACATGAGGAACTGTTTTAAAGGGTCCCGGCATTAGGAAGGTTGAGAACCACTGTTCCAGAACCTAGTTCAGTGCTTGGCACTTAGTAGGTATTCAAATAGCTGTTGGCTCAGTGGCACTCGTGACTGGAATCTGACTTCACAGAAGACAGTGCGGCCGCGGTCACCGGAGGACATGATGGCGGCAGCAGACACCGAGTTAAGCGGCACTACTCGGATTTGACGTTTTCTTTCGCAGTTTAGACTCATTTTCTCATCAGGTTGCAGCCATCCCCGAGGCTAGGAGCGCTCACGGGCCTGTGGCCGGAGGATACGGTGGGGCCATCTCTGCCTGACCACCACCGCCGGTGTCCCTGGACCGGGGCTCTCCTCGGAGCCCAGGAGCAGGCCAGGCCTTCCTCCAGGGGCACGGGCTCTCGGCAGGGTGCTCTCCCCTCGCCGCTGCCCCCTCTCCCTGTGCCTCACAGTGAGCCCTTCGGTTGCCCAGGCCTGGGATGGGGGCTCTGCTGGGTAGCTGGGCCTCCCTCCCGCCCTGTCCTTCTAATCTGTTGTCCACGCGGCAGCCAGAGTGACCAGGGCTGCTGCCTGGGGGTGTGACCGGTCGGTGCAGTCTTCTGGGGAAGTCACAGCTTGGAGTGTGTTTCAAGTGCAGTCTGACGGGAAAATGGAGCATGCACCCTCCCCCTCCTGCCCTTGTCTTTCCGTCTCCATGGTGACTCACCACTTTGCCTGCCACATCCCAGCATCCCAGCCTCTGCCAGGGACTCGGAGCCGGCCGGTCCCTCCCTCCTCCGGGCTTGTTCCCGCAGCCCTGCCTCCTCCCCCGGGGCGAGTCCAGAGGCAGCCTCCTCTTCCATCTATTCTTCAGCTCTGGCAGCCGGCTCCTCGGGGAGACCATCCCCACACCCTCCACCTGCACAGCGCACCAGCCCTTCCATCCTCCGCTGCTCAAGGTCTCTGGGCCTCCGCCCTCGCCCTCGGCCTCCGGACCCATCCCCACTCCCAGCCTCCCATGCCCAGGTCCGCCTTCTCAGTCATTTCCCTTTGTCACCGGTTTGGCAAACAGGCAAGTCTTCTCCTAAGATGTGGGGAGAGAATGGGGTGGGAAGGGGCTCCCTGGATGGGGCGGAGCGCAGAGGGCGAGGAAGAGGCCATGAAAACCCAGGACTGAGACAGGGATCTGGATTCTTTTCTAAATAACGTTTTTGTTATTTCCCTGCCAAATTCTCTCCAAGGAGAGGAACCAGAGCTTCATGGGAAACAGCAGCAACAGTTGGTAAGCGGTGGGGCCTGCTGGATGTGGGTGAGGCCTCCCGGGCGGCCGGGCGGGAACACGGGCTGCGCTGTCCCGGGAGGGAGCTCCAGGTTGGATCTGCCCGGATCTGGAGAGGAGGTGGCACCGGAAATGGCGGGTGCTGCAGGGAGGCCGATTGGAGCCCAGAAGGGGAGCGTGGGAGCGTCTAAGAACCAGGCCTCTGCCCCACCACCAGGGACCCCACCTTTGGATCCCACCTCCAGGGTGTTTAGAGGCTGCAGAAGGGATCACTCCTTAGGCGGCCCTAACTCCTCCAGGGAGCCCTGGCAGCAGGGGGCTGTGGGTGAGGTATTCACAAGCATTTGTGCCAGGTGCTGGTGGGGTGCAGGCGCTGGGTGTGGTGTAGGTGCTGGGTGTGGTGTAGGTGCTGGTGGGGTGCAGGCACTGGTGGGGTGCAGGTATTGGTGGGGTGCAGGCGCTGGGTGTGGTGTAGGTGCTGGGTGGGGTGTAGGTGCTGGTGGGGTGCAGGCACTGGTGAGGTGCAGGTACTGGTGGGGTGCAGGCGCTGGGTGTGGTGTAGGTGCTGGGTGGGGTGCAGGTGTTGGTGGGGTGCAGGCGCTAGTGGGGTGCAGGCGCAGTGCCTGACGCACCATCGCATCAGCTCACTCGATGGCCCCACGTGGCTGGCACTGCCCGCCTGCTGGGCACTGAGGGAGGCCGGATGGAGGGAGCCTTGCCCAGGCGGCACGTGGTCTGAGAGCCAAGGTTTCACCTTCCAGGCAGCTCTCTGCTGCCCCAGTTCTGACCCTGAGTCCCTGCCCCACATGCTGCTCTCAAATGACCGGTCTGCCCACCGCCCCCAGGTCCCACGCACCGTCCCCCAGGCTGGAGCGGGGCCTG